TCAAGGTGGTAGGATCACTTGAGCACAGGAGTATGAGGCCAGCTTGGGTGATATAGGGAGACCTCATCTCTACAAAAAATCTAAAAAATAGCCAGCCGTAGTAGTGCGTGCCTGTGGTCCCAGCTACTTGGGAGGCTGAGGTGGGAGGATGGCTTGAGCCCAGGAAGCTGAGGCTGCAGTGAGCTGTGATCACAGCACTATATTCCAGTCTGGGTAACAGAGGGAGACCCTGTTTAAAAAAAAAAATTATAGGCACTTAGAAAGTGCTTAATAAATATTAGCTCCTCCTCTTTAACATATTTCATTAACTTCCAATGATACCTTACTCTTTGAGTGATTCACAAGAAAACTCAAGCTTTCTGGTATGAATCTTCTTAATTTTTTTCTCTTCCCTCCTTTTCATAATTCTATGTTTTCACCAATTTTCTCTCCTGATTCTGAAAGCCTCTCTCTTCTGTTAAGACCCTGCATGTCAATAGTTTTCAAGCCTGGCTGCACATTAGAATCAGCTGGGGAGCTTTTTAAAAATGCATCGTCACTGGGTCCCACCACAAACCAATTAAATATAAATCTCTGGAGGTGGGAGCATGGTGCCAGTATTTTTTTAAGTTCCCTGGTAGGGTGTCAAGACAATTTAATGGGGGGAAGAATAGTCTTTTAAACAAATATTACTCGAACAACTGGATATCCAGATTCAAATGAATAAAGTTGAACTCCTTTATACTATACACAAAAATTAACTCAAAATGGATCATACATTTAAATATAGAGCTAAAACTATAAAACTCTTAGAAGAAAACAGAAGTAAATCTTTATGACCTGGAGTCAGGCAAAGCCAACTTAGATATGACACCAAAAGCAGAAGCAACAAAAGAAAATAAACACTGAACTTCATCAAAATTAAACATTTTTATACCACAAACGATATTATCAAGACAGTGGGCTGGGCGTGGTGGCTCACGCCTGTAATCCCAGCACTTTGGGAGGCCTAGGTGGGCAGATCACGAGGTCAAGAGATCAAGACCATTCTGGCCAACACGGTGAAACCCCGTCTCTACTAAAAATACAAAAAAATGGGCGTGGTGGCACATGCCTGTAATCCCAGCTACTCGGGAGGCTGAGGCGGAAGAATCACTTGAACCCAGGAGGTGGAGGTTGCAGTGAGCCGAGATTGCGCCACTGCACTCCAGCCTGGTGACAGAGCAAGACTCCATCTCAAAAAAAAAAAAAAAAAAGGAAAGTGAAGACAACCTATGGAATGAGAAAAATATTTGCAAGGTATATATCTGATAAAGAGCTTGCGTACAGAATATATAAAGGACACTTAGAAGTCAAAAAGGAAAGATAATCTAACTTTTAATGTGGGCAATGTGTCCAAACAGATATTTTTCCAAAGAAGATATACAGATGGCCAATAAGCACATGAAAAGACGTTTGACATCCTTAGCTATTAGGGAAATATAAAGCAAAAACCACAGTGAGCTCCCACTTCAAACTTATTAAGATGGTTCTAATCAAAAAGGTATATAATGACAAGTGTTGATGAGTATGTGCTGAAATTGGACCTTCATACATTACTGATGGGAATGTAAAATGGTGCAGCCATTTTGGAAAACAATTTGGTATCTCCTGAAAATGTTAAACATATAGTAATCATAATGACCCAGCAATTCCAGTCACACGTATGTACTCAAGAGAAATTAAAAGGAAGTCACACAGAAATGTACATACAAGGCCGGGCGCGGTGGCTCAAGCCTGTAATCCCAGCACTTTGGGAGGCCGAGGCGGGTGGATCATGAGGTCAAGAGATCGAGACCATCCTGGTCAACATGGTGAAACCCCGTCTCTACTAAAAATACAAAAAATTAGCTGGGCATGGTGGCGCGTGTCTGTAATCCCAGCTACTCAGGAGGTTGAGGCAGGAGAATTGCCTGAACCCAGGAGGCGGAGGTTGCGGTGAGCCGAGATCGTGCCATTGCACTCCAGCCTGGGTAACAAGAGCAAAACTCCGTCTCAAAAAAAAAAAAAAAAAAAAAAAAAATGTACATACAAATGTTCAAAGAAGCATTCTTCTTAATAGTCAAAAAGCAGAAACCCAAAATATCTATCAACTGATGAATGGATAATATTATACGGCCCACTGGAATATTACTTGGCAATAAAAAGAAAGGAAGTACTGATATAGGCTACAACATGGATAAACTTTGCAAACACTACACTAAGTGAAATAAGCTAGTTACAAAAGAGCATGTACTGTATAACTTCATTTATATGAAATATCCAGACTGAGCAAATCTATATATAGAGAAAGCAGATTGGCAGTTGCCTAGAGCTGGGGAGTGAAGAAAAATGAGGAGTGACTGCTAATGGGTATGCGGTTTCTTACTGTGATGATGAAAATGTTCTAAAATTGATTGTGATGATGATTGTACAACTCTGCGAATATACTAAAAAACATTACATAGGAAAAAAGAAAAAGAAGGAGGGGAAAAGGAAGGAAGGGAGAGAGGGAGAGAGGCAGGGAGGGAGGGAGGGAGGGGAGGGGAGGAGAGGGAAAGAGGTAGGGAGGGAGGGGGAAAAGTTTCCACAGGTAATTCTAATACTGAAGTTTATTTCTGATATTTTACTTTCTGGATTCCTTCAGAGTAAAGACTGCATTTTCTAAATTTTTTTGTCCCCCATATTCTTACAGATTAATAACACGGAGCAAGGGTGTGATATTTTTTGAATTTTTTTTTTTAAAGCAGCAAAGTGTTCTTGGGGATGTTCTTTATTTTAATCAAAATTGCAAGATCAGGCTGCCACCTGGCAGAATTGGTCATCTTGGCTACCTTGAATTATCTGAGCTCGCCAAGCAGTTAATTCAGCTGAAGCACATGGAAAGAGGGTAGGCACACAGTGCAAACAAAACCAACCGGTTTTGCCATCGAAGCAGGGTTGTTTTGTCATATATCAGCGGATATGGCCTCTGGCCCTTAGGAACCATTCTTTTGACAGTTCCCCAGGACATGGCTCTGGTTTGACTGACTTTGTTTACTAAATAAATTAATTCCTACTTCTGGAGTAGCTTCAATTTTTAAACAGAAAGCCATCTATTGACAGTCACTGATACACAGGATTTTATTGTTTGATATTAAACAATTAAGAGTTATTGTTTTTTCCATACAAGTACACTATACATGAAGATAAATATAATGTAGAATACAGTCACTAAGAGTGGGGAGAGAGAGGGGGCTTCTATATCTACTCTGTGCCTTAAGGGAACAGTTTTACTTTAGTACATTCAAAGTGCATACTGTTACTTCTTTCACAGAAACAAGGCTCTCTTTTGGCAAAATGTGCATCAAAGACAGAGTCTGACGAATATTTTTAAAGATGAGTTTGATTATATAAACAACATTTTAAAAATATCCTAATAATTTCATCTTTTGATCTAGTAGACTTTAATAATTTAAAATTACTTGGAAATTGCTAGTTTCAAAAAACTCTCTGAAGGTATACAGAAAAGGAAAATGCTGAAGTAACTCGAGATGTTTATAAATATTGTGTCTAAAATGTTATCTCCTTTGTTAAGCCCAGCATATAAAATAATAGCAAAATGGGAAACCACAATTATCTGAGTATAGGACAAAGATCTGATTTAGAATCAGGCAGAAGTTTTCCCTCTATTACTCCAGCAAGTTCAAATGTACTCAGAAATACAAAATGATTGATCCTCAGGCATAAGTTTGAAATTAGACGAGTTTACAGTTGGAAGATTCATTAAGAACAATAATTCAAAAGATATGACACCTATAATTTAGAAGCCTTGCTTCACGATATAAGATAACCTGAAAATTAAGTAAAAATCTAAAAATTAAGCACTGGTTTCACAAGGTAAACATGGCAGGCTGGATTATAAGAAATATGAGGCATTTTGCTTTCTCACCAGAAAGAACAGCTGGGTACATGCTGCAGACTGGCATTATGAATTGCTCAAAGGGAAGCAGTTGGGAAATGCTGTCAGATTATTCGGGTTGAGGAGCTGCCCCAGGGCAGAACTTGTCACAATGTCACATCCCTCTTCACGCTCACAACTTTCACCAGAATACAGCAGACCCTTGGAAGGCACATTCAAGCACAAATACTAACGCTCTGTTGAAACTCCAGTAGCAAACTATCAAACCAACTTCATACACGGAACATGCCAGGACTTTTCGATGTTTCCCCAACACAGTGGAATAAACTATTTTCAGTCTAAAGTTCATCTCAGGAAAACACTCGTGTGCATTTCCATGCAATGTAATTGTGGAACATAGTAACCACTTCTTAGTTTTCGTTAGAGGATATTGAAAAACTCGAGTGTAAGGATAATTCCCCCTTTCCCTCTAATGCAGCTTTTTAGGTTTTTGACACTATAAATAAAGCGTAAAGAGTGACATAAGGAGCTGCGAATATACATAAATACACCACTATGGCTCCCGTCATAAGAGCTTTTGGAAAACGGTTGAACAAGTATTCATCTTCCCCAAATCGCAATCGCAAGACACTGACTGTTACACAACCGTGAAACAAAGGCAAGGTGAAGGGTGAAGACCGGCAGAAAGGACGGTCGCAAGGAAGACAAGTGCCCCCGCAGGACAGAACCCGCGCGGTCTTGCGGGCCCCGCTTTTCTCAGCACCTTTCTGGTGTTCTGAGCTTTTCCGCTAATACCATCCACATCATCTCTCAGACAAATGAATCTCCCTTCAAGGAAAGCCAAGCAGGCATCCGAGGTAACGTGCAGAACCGTAAGTGAAAAATGCCCCCGTCTAGCACGCAGAGAAGCGAAGGAAAACCAGCTGTCAGTTTCAGAGGCTCCTCGTTGTAACAGGGTTTCGGGTTTCTCTCTGCCCCGGTCTCTCTGTCTCGCCCTCAATAATATCAGCTTTCTAATCACCTCAAATCACAAATACATTCTTCTGTCCGTCCTTGTGAAATAAATGCTGATGAAACAGGAAAAACAGAGTGCAATACTCACAACAACGAAGAATTCCTACACATGCTGTTCCATTTTCTTGCTTTGAAAAGATGTAAGGTTAATTTTAAAAGCCTTGCTGGATTAGAAAAATAAAGGGGAGGGGGATTCCACCCACACAATCCTCCAGCCCACCGCAAAGGAGCCCGAAGGCTTGCTGACGTCACAGATTCATGAATGGATGTAAATTGGGCTGGTTTAGGATTCCGCACAGACTTCGCTTTGCATGTGTGCCACGAAAAAAAAGAGGGGCGGGTCCAGAGTAGGCCCGGCCAATAGGCTTCAGGCAGACTTGGCCTTCCTTCTTTTAGAAGGAATCTGGTCACAGAATAAACAGAGCCCGCCAATCAGGCATCTGCCACTGCCTTAAGACAGACTGGCAGCTTGAGGAGAGAGAGAGAGAGGGAGAGAGATTGAGAGAGAGCGAGAGAAAGAGAGGAGAGAGAGAGAGAGAGAGAGAGAGAGAGAGAGAGAGAGAATGTGTGTGTATGTTTCAAGCTGTGATAGTCATAAAAACATTATTACTGCTATTGAATGAAAGAATCAAAATAGAATTTCCGTGGAATCAAGGCTAACAAAAATGCATATAGAAGAAATCCCATCTTTTATTCATTAGAGCTCTTTTCTTTAACCCTTTTCTTACTGTTCAGCAATATGCCTGATGCAATCAAAACAAATCTAAGTCAGATAAACCATTTCTAACACTGGCAGGCTAGTGGACATGTATGCCCGGCCCACCACGACTTGTAAAAGGAGAATTAAGGGAAGGATGCATTTCTAGTAACTAAGAAAACAGAAATATGGAAAATAATATCACATGAATGTAACTGTTTTGTATAGCAGTAACATCTTGCTGACCTTCATGATGTATCAAAAGTGGATACGCAAGAAAAACTTACTGCTACTTTTAAGAAGGGTACAGTGTTTCCTCATTGGTTTATTCAACTTCTGCCAGTCAATTAAGACACAGCTCCAGAAGGGCGCTTAAGGAAAACTTTGAGCAAGTTTTCGTTTCAGTAAGATGTTTTATTATTAACAACAAAAACAGCTGCATTAAATTCACTCAAAAGGCATCTCTTGCTTCTTTATTTTTATACTTTTCAGTTATATAAAATTGGAGATGAATATATTTATGGTCCCTACTCCTCATCACTACACTTCACAACGGCTAATACTTGACAAATACTGATCATGATTTTTCTGAACTTGGGAAATGGCCTCAAATCCTTGAAACTAGAACAATCATGGTTAATATAAAGCTTCAGTTATGAGGTGTCCAGTGACCAAGAACATTCTGAACAGAGATCTGCTCTTCTTCTCAATCAGATTAGTTACACAACTGTGAGAGAAGGAAAGTGGTTGCCTGTTTTCTATGTGGGTCTGGAGGGTCCAAACCTGGCCACTACTAAGTACTGCGCACTTCTTAGCTCATTTGGCAAAGGAAAACGTTTCAGGATTATTTTGCACACAGCAAAGATATTCAGTGTATTGTACATATTGAAGCAATAGAATATTGTTGGCAAACAACATAGTCAACAAATTTCCCCAAAGAAGCTTATTGTGGAATATCACTACAAAAAAGATAGACCAAAGAAGTTTATCCATGTAATATGGGAGAGTGCTCAAGGCAAATACAGTATTGGTACATGCCCAGTAGGCCTGAGTGTACAACATTATTTAAGAACCAACAAATGGAAAGATGAAGAATATACATCTCTATTTCTTTTAACAGCGACCAAAGCCAACCAGGATACATTAAAAGAATCAGATTTATGAAAAACATTTTTTCTTCCAAAACAATACAGACTAACAGAAAGAGGCAAAGAGGCAAACTTAATAAGATACCCAAGAAACATCAAGTTGTGTGTGTATATTTTATTTATTTATTTATTTACTTGTTTATTGTGGAGACAGGGTCTCGCTCTGTCTGTCACCCAGGCTGAAGTGCAGTAGTGCGATCATAGCTCACTGCAACCTCAAACTCCTGGGCTCAAGTAATCCTCCAGCCTCAGCCTCCCAAGTAGCTGGGACTACAGGCATGTACCACCATGCCTGGCTAATTTTTAAATAAGTTTTTGTAGAGATGGGGTCTCACCATGTTGCCCAGGTGGGTCTTAAACTCCTGGGCTCAAAGGATCCTCCCTCCTCAGCCTCCCAAAGTGCTGGGATTACAGATGTGAGCCACTGTGCCCAGCCAAGTTGTATACATTACATATCTACAGCTTTTTGTCAATCCTATCTCAATAAAGCTGTTTTTCTTTTTTTTTTTAAAGACATCTAAAGCTGGCTGGCTGTGGCTCACACCTGTAATCCCAGCACTTTGGGAGGCCAAGGCGAGCAGATCAACTGAGGTCTCGAATTTGAGACCAGCCTGGCCAAAACACGGTGAAACCCCGTCTCTACTACAAATACAAAAATTAGTTGGTCGTGGTGGTGCACGTCTGTAATCCCAGCTACTTGGGAAGCTGAGGCACGAGAATCGCTTGAACCCAAGAGGTTGCAGTGAGCTGAGATGCCACTGCTACTACATCCAACCTGGGCAACAGAGCAAGAACTCCCTCTCAAAAAAAAAAAAAAAAAAAAAAAAAAAAAGGCTAAAGCTGCTACAGAAGTTAATACATTTGCTGTAAGGTGTGACAGTAACATAATTACTAATAATAAGTCCACTAGGGATGGGAGCAGTCTCTGAAGCAATTCAACTGAACAGGCTCTATAAATGCTTCTAATAACAGTCACCTAAGATTCTTGGCTCAATATAAAGCCTGGAAAATAATAACTAGCTGGCCTTATGGACTTGCCACTTTAGTAAGATAAACGTGGCCTGGGTTAGCATGCTTCCCAAACCACAGAAACATCAACTGGGCCGACAAAGACTCCTCCATGTCAACGATCATGGGAAATCATTGGAAAGATAAGCTGTCTCACCAAATTATGGAAGATATAGAAGTCAGTCTTGGAGGAAGTCATTATTGTTTTAGAAACAGAAGGTAGAAAGGAAGATAAAGGCATGAAAAATGCACACTCTAGAGTAAGTTCAGTTCAAGAGAATTTCCTGTGATTATGGAGTGTTCCATAATTTGCACTAATATACTAGCCACATGTGACTACTGGGTATTTGAAAGATGGCTAGTGTGCTCTAGGAAGTGAATTTTTAATGTAATGTGATTTTAATTTAACTCCCAAAACAGTCACCTGTAGCTGGTGGCTATGGTATGGAACAATGCAACTCTAGAGATAAAAAGCCAAGTCCCATCATTATAAGTAATTTTTAATTTCAGTACACGGGCATACTAAGTGTGGAGGACCACAAAGCCATTTTCAAGGTGAGTAAGCTCTTTTAAGAATCAAATGAATCTCCTCAAACTTCAGTGATAACTGAAGTTAATCCAGGTCATTTTCCTTCAGGTGGCTAGGGAATACTCTTTGGGGTTCTGAAACTGATCAGGAAAATGATTCTGGTCTCATTTTCGGAGAAGATATTTAAAACTCATTACTAGATAAAAATCTATATATAGTTTGAAACTAAGGTACAATAATTCTGCTATAAAAATATAAACTATTCTAGTTTTGGAAGTTTTCTGAGGAAAAAAAAAAAGGTGTTTTTAAAAAAGGAAAACAACTCATTTAAGTCAGAATCAAAGTCCAAAGTATCATGATCCATGGGCAATTTTTGTCAAAAATACCAGGAAAAAGAAAGAGTTTAGTGATCTCGAATGCTAATACATGCAGACTCAAATTTCCTTCACAGGCAACAGTGTGTAGTGGTTAAAAGCTGGTAGAGATCTGGACTCAAATCATGTTTCTGCCACTTACTAGTTATGAATATTCAGATAAACCTGAGTTTGTTTTCTCGTTATTAAAATGGGGATAATAATAGCCTATATTACCATGTGAAGGTTAAAGTAATATTATAACACATGTAAAGAGTTGCAGGCAGTACTCACATACAGAAGATACTCAGCATATAATAATGGTAGCTGGTTTTATTTTGTTTTGAGACCCTGCTACTCTCTCAACCAGGCGTCCCCAGACTACCACCTGCAGGCCACATGCGGCCCCCTGAGGCCATTTATCTGGCCCCCCGCCGCACTTCAGGAAGGGGCACCTCTTTCACTGGTGGTCAGTGAGAGGAGCACAGTATGTGGCGGCCCTCCAACAGTCTGAGGGACAGTGAACTGGCCCCCTGTGTAAAAAGTTTGGGGATGCCTGCTCTCAACAATGGAAATTTCAACAACTGTGCAGATCCAAGAATCAGAAGCACAGGAAAGAATATAACATCTTTATTTTGCTTATAATAAAGCTTGAATGATCTGATATGGTTTGGCTCTGTGTCCCCACCCAAAACTCATCTTGAATTGTACTCCCATGATCCCCACATGTTGTGGGAGGGACCCAGTGGCAGGTAACTGAATCACGGGGGCAGTTCCCCCATACTGTTCTCATGGTAGTGAATAAGTCTCACAAGATCTAATAGTTTTGTCAGGGGTTTCTGCTTTTGCGTCTTCCTCACTCTCTTTGCCTGCTGCTCTCCATGTAAGACTTGACTTGCTCCTCCTTGCCTTCTGCCATGATTGTGAGGCTTCCTCGCCACGTGAAACGAAGTCCAATTAAACCTCTTCTTTTGTAAATTGCCCAGTCTCAGGTATGTCTTTATCATCAGCGTGAAAACAGACTAATATAAAATTCTTTTCAGGAAATTCTAAAAATGTCTATTAGTGTCCCATCTTCTAAAGAAAAGTTCATCCACATCATTTTCCTTCAGGTGGTTGGGGAATACTCTGGGGTTCTGAAACAGGTCAGGGGAACCTTCAGGTAGTTATGCTAGCTGATCAAGAGCTCTGTTCATTGTTTTTAAAAAGCAGCTACAGTTTTCTACATAAAGATGTAGTTTGCATAAAATTATGTGAACTAATTTGGAAAACAATCTATCTCCTAGTTGGGAATATTGGTCAGAATTCTCCATTTCATATCAGAATGTTAACCCTATTTCTATTCCAAAGCATACGGAGCAATGGTCAACAACTGAATTTCAATATTCGAAGACCTCAGCAGATTACTATTATACTTCCATTTTTTCCCCTGTCCAGCTCCCATTAAATGCCTATCTGAGAAAGTGATTTTTAAGAAACAGCTAAGGGAAAACATTCTTATAAGTATCACTCAAATCTATCCTTGTGTCAAGGGAGATCATCAGAAAGCTATATGCGATCTAAATTTCATTAGCCTAATATTCCTTAGCAGAATAACTCATTGAGTGTTACGGCCTTGTTTTTATTAAAAATGATTATGGGGAAGATTCATATTGCTTCTGGGTTGT